AACAGTGATTTCTGCGAGGTGGAGTTACAGAGCGATGATTATTTCGGTGAGGTGGAGTTTCAGAGTGATGAAGATTTTGACGAAATGGAGTTTCAGAATAATGATAACTATGGCTTTCATATTGGTTTTGATTAGAAATAAACTGGCAGCCTTGCCGATAAGGTACTGTTGATCATAGTGGTGTACTTCTTTGAGGTGATATGAACAGAGAAATTGAACATTAACTTGAAATAATGTTAATTTGGTATGAAGTTTTACCTCACATTTTCCAAAATTAGATCAAAAAAAATTTATATGGATGGAGTTATCAGATATTCTGTTACTTTAATTTGAAAAAAGGAAAGAGACAAGAAAAGTGATTTCTTTTATATAAATTATATCTTATTTATTAAGTAAGCTTTAATTTAATATATTAGTATATAATGTGTAATGATGGATATAGTAATGATATTTATGAGCAAAGCAAAAAGTCAAATAAATATCACTAAAAGAAGAATGATGCGAAAAAGTCAAACTTGATAACGTATGTTAAAAAAAATACATGATCTATTTATACTTTTTATAGCCAAGTCTTATTTCTGAAAAACAATGTGATTACATTTATGATTGTGTTAGATGATTTTAAAGCGCTATTAATTTAATATCGGGCTTAAAATTTACAATCAGTTATAATATATTTTATTATATAATCTATTATATTATTATATAATCTATTGTAAAATTAATATTTATACTATGAAATTAGTAAATAACTTCATTGAATACGATTGAAGAATTACTGAAATATAGATAACTTTTTGCTAATTTAAATCACTTAAAAATTAAATCAAAAAGTTTAATTTTCCAATACACAAAATAAAAAAAATTATATAAACCGATTTATTGATTTGTTATATAAAAAATATATAGAAAAATCGAAAGATCTATTAATTAATCTTATATTATGTGAATTATAATCGAAAGACATATCAGGATATTAATAACTTTTATAATTAATTTAAATCACTAAAAAAATATCAAAACAAAAAACATATTTTAGTTGATATATATAGCAAAATAAAGATAATTGATATGAT